AGTCAGATTGCTTACAATAAGCAAATCTTAGAATTAAAGGCATTATCAGATCCCCCAAACCTACCACATACTATCTTTATCATCTGGTGCAGGAATACAGACACCTAAAGCTCAGTCTTTCCTTCACACGACAGTGAGTCATTTCTGAGAGGCCATAATTATATAAAATTTCCATTCTCCTCTGCATTTCCCCATTGCACAGGAAAAAGCAAAACCAACTTTGGTGACTTGGACATTGCTCAGACCTGAAATGATCAAGTTTCGTCTTGTCTTTCCCCCTTTTTCTTCTTGTTTTAGGTTATTCCAAAGCATAAGTTTGTCCTTGTGAAGTTTGACACACAATATCCCTATGGTGAGAAACAAGATGAGTTTAAAAAGCTGGCAGAGAGCTCAGGCTCCAGTGAGGATCTGCTGGTGGCTGAAGTGGGAATATCAGGTGAGGAACTCTGAGTACATGCAAACAGTGTGGGCTGTGAGGAGGGGATACATTTCAGTGTGATTTCTGCAGGTTCTGAGGCAATTCTGGGGGAGGGATGGATGTGAGAGTGGAGCTCCTGCCCTGGCTGAGCCTGGTTGTGCGTGGGAGAGCTGCTTATCCATCTGGCTGGGTAATGAGGAGTCAGCCCACGCTGCTGAACTGCTGCCACCTCCTCATCCTCAGCAATTCTTGCCTTTTTTTTCCCCCCCTTCTTTGCTGAGAGAAACCTTTTTGACCCACATGCAGGTAACAGACCTCACAAGAATCATGCTTTAGCCACAGTCCTGCTCAGACAAAGAATATTTAGTGTGATTAATTCCATGCAGCAAACCCTGGGGCAGCACAGCAAGGGGTTGTTGCATTGTGGCTGCTCTAACTTGATGTGACTGTGACTGGATTAAGAGAAAAAGGGTGAAGAATAGATCACTGTCACCTGACATGCTCTGACTTTGTAGGTTGAATTAAGAATTTAGGCTTAATTATCAAACTGTGAAGTTTTACCCATTCTGATATTTCTAAACATATGTGGAATGCTCTAAGTAGCATATTTGCAATGGCTTTGTTTTCTGTCCTCAAGAATAAATATAATTTCTGTAAGATGAGTAAACGTCTTGTAGCTTGGCATGCTGTCAGAACCAAATCATTCTCTGCACATAGACAGGAAAAACTCTTATTTAACTGTAAAATCAGATAAAATCAATGGATAGAGGAAAATAAGAGGAAAAAGGGTATTGATTTTCCATGAGGAGGACAGGGTTTATACAAAAGGTCCTGCTAATGTCTTACACTCTCACAGTCACAGCAAAACACCATTACAGTCTTTTTCTTTGACAAACCCACTGAATGTTTGCCTTGCAGAAATTATTTTATGAGGTGTTTTTATTTCAGTGTGTGGCATTTCCTTGGAAGAGGCTCCCCAGAGAATGGTCACAGCCCCAAGGCTGCCAGAGCTCAGGGAGTATTTGGGCAATGCTCCCAGGCACAGGCTGTGATTTTGGGGTGCCATGAGCAGGGCTGGAAGCTGGACTCAGTGATCCTTGTGGGTCCCTTCCAGCTCAGGATATTTCCATGGCTCTGTGATTTCCTGGCAAACAGGTTATTAGGACATGTTGAAGCTCTGCCTACAAATATTTGAGTGGGAGGGAATCTTAATTTTTTTTTTTTATTAACTGTGCTTTTCTGTGTTTCATTGTCCCTTGATAGATTACGGTGATAAACTGAACACTGAGCTGGGAGAGAAGTACAAGCTTGACAAGGAAAAGTTCCCTGTTTTCCACTTGTTCCGGGATGGTGACTTTAACAATCCTTTACTTTATGATGGTGAAATCAAGGCCGGGGCTATTCAGCGCTGGCTGAAGAGTAATGGCATCTACCTGGGGATGCCAGGCTGCCTGAAGGAGTATGATGTGCTGGCCAGCAAATTTATGAGCACCACAGAGAAATCTGATCGCCAGGCCCTCCTGAAAAAGGGGCAGGAGAATTTAGGAAAAGCAAAAGAAACCGAGAAGAAGTCAGCAGAGCAATATTTGAAAATTATGAGCAAGATCCTGGAGCAGGGAGAGGAGTTTGCTGCTAACGAAGTCAACCGAATCACAAAGCTGATCGAGAAGAACAAGATGAGTGATGGAAAGAAGGAGGAGCTCCAGAAAAGCCTCAACATCCTCGCTTCTTTCCGGAAGAAGAGTAGTGAAAAAGATGAGCTCTAACGTGTTGGAGAACTCTCTACAAGCTGTGAAACATTGTCAAGATTCCTAACCAGTTCTCCTTAATGCAAGCAAACTTCCCGCTGACTTCAAAAGGGCAGCAGATCTCCTTCTGGGATTCTCAGTTTAGAAGGTCAAGAGGAAGACATTCTTTAAAAACACAGTATTCTAAATGTTGGAAAAATCACCTAAGAGCAAGGCACAGCAAGTATTGTGTAATACTATCCAATAACAGTGTTAAAGCAGACAACAAAAAAAAACAAACTCTAGATTGGCCAGAAGCTCCTTCCTGGTGGTTTTTACAGCTGTTCCCTGACTAACAAATAACAAAATTCAGTCTCTCATTCCATCTTACATGCTGGAAAAGGTACAGATTGGGTACCCTCTACACGCCCACCTTTCCCTGTCCGTAATATCCTTGGGTTTTATGCTTGTTAATCTACCCCTCACCCCCCATGTGTTGTCCTACTTGGGCTCTAAGTCTTGTTCTTACCTGTTGTTGACTAAGAAACTCAGAGCTTCCTTTTTCTGGCTTCTCCTTCCATGGCTTCTGTCCCTGTTTGCTTTGGGTGTCAGCCAAATGCTGGCAGTGAAGACAGTTCACAGCTTGCCCCTCATTTTCTGTCCAGAGCAGCCGTTTCATCAAACATTCTCCCAAAATCATTCATAATACCTTGACACAGTGAGTGAAGTGAGTTCTGAGCAAGGGCAGAGTCTCCTTGAGGTGCTATTACACTCAGTCTCACCAGTTTGTGCAAAAAATTGGTTTTTCAGAGGTAAATTTGGATGTGTTTTCTTACAGCTGAAGAGGTGTTCTACCTGTCCAAGCTTCATGAGCAAAATGTTTTTCTAGCCTCCAGAAGCAATTGACACTGTCAAACTAGAGCCTCATCAGTGTTTGGTAGTTCTAAATATTTGAAAATGAGGTCCTGTAAGAGGAAGCAGAAGTATTTGTGTCTTTAGAAGCCTCGTCTGTGTTATTTAAAAGGAGATGCTTGGCCCAAGGATCAGGTCAGTCCTCAGAACTGTGCAGTTCACACTCTGTGGAATTCAGATGCCTCTGGAAGATGCTGAAGCCCTGGTCAGGGTGACAGAATTGAAAAGGGAAACACCTGTGAGTTTTACCTTAAAAGTATGCTTTAAACAAAACTGATTCCTGTGGGAGCTTTGCTGCCTTTTGAATCTTGGTGTGGGTACAAGGAGCAGATGTTGCTGTGAGATAAAATGTATTAATAATGCTATAATAAAAAAAAAAAAATCCACTTCAAAGCTGCTTCTTAAACCACTATAGAGAAACTACGGCCAATTCCGTAATCAGAGGGGAAGCTGTGACTGCTGAAGCGAGGTGAGGAGAACCAAGGGTGTCCCTCGACCCAGCGCTCTCCCTCAGGAGCGGCAGAGGAAGAACCCCGGCAAGGTGGGCAGTTTTTGGGAGGGCTTTGTGGAGATACGTCCCTCCTGGCTCGGCCCCGGAGACCCTGAGGGAATCGTCTCCCGAGGTGTGCTGAGGGGAGCTGTTCTCGAAGCACTGAGGGAACAATTCCCCGGGACTCTGAAGGGGGCAGCCCCTGATAGGATCAGAACTTGAGGGGACCATGCCCTGGATCTGTGAAGGGAGCAGTGCCCGGGCTCTCTGAGGGGAGCAGCCGCGGGACTGAGGGAACCATGCCCGGGCTCTCTGAGGGGAGCAGCCGCGGGACTGTGAGAACCATGCCCGGGCTCTCTGAGGGGAGCAGCCC